CACACGCACACACACACACACACACACAAACATAATATATAATAGAATAATATATCATGCATACAACAATCACAATTTTCAATTCTTATCTTTGTTCTTATCTAATGTTTGGCTTATTCTAAAATGTCCATCAATACTTTTTTATATGTTGTGTAATAAATAATGGTAATAATAACGTACTAGTGACATATTTAGAAGATTCGTATATATGGGAAAAAAACCTTCAATAGCCCATAATGAACACATGAATGAAAGGCAGTTTTCCTCAATGTTTCTCCCCTGAGATCGTCGCATCGACTATACGTAACATAACAGTCAGCTCACATCACAACTCCCTTTTTTTGTCGCCATGGTGCAGCTCTGTGTGTGTGTGTGTGTGTGTGTGTGTGTGTGTGTGTGTGTGTGTGTGTGTGTGTGTGTGTGCATGTGCATGCGTTGTGCAAGTGTGGAGGATGGCGGTGGCATCGTTTTACAACCGGGGGTTGATTTGTTTTGTTCTAGGGCTCAGCCCAGTGGTCGTGCATCTAAGAGCCGCCACATTAATGCAATGTTTGGGATCCTTTTCAAGCCTGCATTTTCTGACAACTCGAATTCGGGGGATCACAATATTTATATAGGAGATTCTGGAGGGGAAAAAAGGAGAAGATTGTGATATTGCGTCTTTTGCTCTCTGAAACTACATACAATAATTCTTTTGGTAGCTTTTAGTAATAATAATATTGATAAAAATATTGACGCTTTTGGGACAGATGTTTTGTGGTGAATGAGGGAAGAGTTTTCTGACAAGATTACACGTGCGAAACCTGAACTCTTGAGACTACACAACCACTCAACAGTCTTGAAAACAAAATCGAACTTGTGAACTGTCAGCCCCTGCTATCGACAAGCCCACTCCAAGAGGACCTCGGGGATTTCCATCCGTCTTTGAAACCGAAACTTAATGGTGTGAAGTCTTTTCTATCAAGTATGGTATCAGCGGTGCCCTTGATGTTGATCGATATTGGTTTATTGATTGCCAGGACTAGTATCCCTCGCTCCAACCTTTTCCTGTTATCGCCTTGAAAGTGACCAATTGTATTTAAACTGTGACAGTGCTTTGTACAACTTTCCAGATTATACCCAACTATTTATCAGAGGCTTTCTTTCTTTTACTAACCGTTTTGACAACCTTGCTAAGGCCATATATTATGTGATACAATATTAATTATATTGCCCCTTGACGCAAAGGCCTTCTCTGTACGTAGTGGGGTTAAAGTCAAAAGTAACTTATTGACAGTCATAGCGGCATCTATATCTATACATAATATGAAATTTGTGAAAGTTCGTCACTTTCGCCGCCTAAACCTTCCAAACCACTTAACTTTCGATTTTGAAAAAAATAACGATGGTTCAGAACCATTTTAAGGGTGCACAGTTTTACTGAGGAGTTCTAGTTATTCTCAACACTTCAAAAATGTAAATAATGTGTATCGTCAGCTCTATTTGACAATCGCCCATTTCAAATTCTGGGGGGAAAGCTGCTATTCGAATGAAGACATCAAGGGTCATCTAACAATATGGTTTCGTTCTGTTTCGTTATTTCCTTCCTAGTTGTTTTTTTTTAACTCAAAAGTAAAGTGTCCAAATTTTAAAATATGACTGAGGCGTTTCTGGCACGGTACTGACGATATGTATCACAGGTTCGCTCTTCGGTTTGCGGATAGTTGGACAGTATTTGGCCCTGCCGACACAATATTCTTTGATTGAAGTTTTTGTGGGGGTGGGG